GGGTTGAGAGAACACAAAACCAAAAGCATTAAACAATTATTTCTTTGGGTTCTTGCTTTTTTTAAGGAAAGAAACCTCCATTCGGGTTTTTTGTTTTCATTTTTTGCTGTTGTTTCAAAGCTTCAAGTTTAGTTGTACCCTAAACCCTAAATCCTAAACCCTGGCTCACTGGATGGGACCTACTGGTGGGACACTAAAGCAAATCCTGTGATTTTGGTCAATAGGTAAAGGGTCCCATGACGGTTTGCTCACCGGAAGCGCTGACACCCTTTTCGATCTGCGAGCACCTTGTGGGCACGCAGCCACTTCGTCAATGAATTTAGTCGCGTGAGAACCTAAACCTTCCCAATGCAGACCCTGTAAGAGTCACATAAGACCGGCAAACGGCATCCTGAACGCTTAGCCGAAGAACATGAGCTGAATGCATGTCGAATCATGCAGATCCAGAAACCATAGCCCAAACGGAAATGACACTCAAGGCCTTAAAACTAGTCGCTTTGAACATGCACCTGAAAAGATAACTATGCTCTACGGGATAACTGCATGGGATGCACTGCCGCATACTTGCCATTCAGGGGACGGTTGCAAAAGGGGGAAACATCTTGACATCCATGCGCCCATTCCTTGCCCTGCCCCCGCACAGACACTAGCTTTCGTCCAGGAAGCCAAACAACCTCTAAATCGTCTGTAAGAAGGGTCGTAAGGAGTTTATACCGGGCCGACACTCTGGGGATACTCCTCTGGTGGTGGGCACTTCAGCAATACTCTGTAGTTTACAGGGTTGCAATCCAAGCATACCGCTGTGGGGCCTCTTGGGACCTAACAACCGCACGGCAAAAACGGAAGAACCGAACAGCTATAAGGACTACAAAAAATCGAATCAAGCGCGAACACATGTTAGAAGGAAGTTGCGACCTTCTTGATCCGAGGCTTAAGCGGATCTATGCGGACCTACTCGGAGTATGCTTCCCTCGGCCATAGGATGCCATAGGCCCTCATCCCCGGAATTGATCGGTGAACTACCTGCATCTCTTGCACTCCCAACCCTCAACCCAAGGCCCGATGCTAGTTGTACCGGTCTGCGGTCACCTGCCGCTTTTTGGACAGGCGTGGCCGCGGCAAACACTGAAAGAACAAATTTAAGTTTCGACGGACCAGGGATGGCCATGCAATCACTTGGTCCTCGTCGTCTGTTGTGGTCTGGTGACGTGCTACAAGATGTCGCTTGGTCAAGGCTCGAAAAATGCCAAAACTAAAACTTACGTGCAGAGTGTCGTAGATTCTGAACAGCACCTGTGGGTGCAAGTAAACACCCCATATAATTATCCTCCAAAAGCTGCCATCTCTGCCTGTGTTGTTGCTGTTGCAACGCTTCAGATGGGACTCTCAGGAACCAAGTGATAAATGCAGGTCGACGCACATTCTTTTATTGAGCAGGGTCGAGAACTCAGAGGGCGCAGGCAAATTTCAGGCCGAGTCCCTTCCTCCCGTCAGTGGTCGGATCCTGAAAGCCGTGGCCTCAGAGCTTCAAAAACAAGCCTTAACAACCTTCGGAAGGCGCTCTCGGAGGTACTTTGCAGGTGCAGCTGGGGCGAACGGTACACTGCAGCATCTCTGCGCACATGGCGAGCTCCATGTTTTCGTAGGTTGCTCGGGCTTCGGCATTGCCCATGGCCTTCCATCTGCATCCATGTTTTCGCTTCTCACCTCCAAGAGTTGGTGTCCTTGGTGCTTCACAGGCGGTCTCTCTAGTCAATCTCTGTCAGGCTATTTGGACTCTCGCAACTAGGACTCTGCAGGCGAGGGGAGGGCTTAAAGCATAATTTCGAGCAAGCCTGCGAAAGGGAGGTCCCTCTCCTACAGGCCATGACCAGTATGGCGTATGGCAACCACAAGCGACCCCACCGGAAAAAGGCCTGATTGCTGACAGCCGTTCTGGCAGGACTCTGCACCAGGGTGGGCAGCCCCAACACCGAGGACAGCCGGTACAGAATGGCACCCATTTCCTGCTACGGTGAATCAGTAGGAGAGTCACTAGGAAGACCATACAAAGCAAAAAAGAAAGAACGATACATGGCTGATCCTAGCTTCATAGAATAAGGCGGCACCCACATGCACCAATCTGCACATGGGCACTTAGTCTTCCACGGTGTGGTCGTGGTCGTAGTCTCGGGCACAGTCCCAGTCGTAGAGGCTGGCACGGAGCTTGTCGTCACGTTAGGAGTGCTGGTCGCCGTGGAAGCACTGATGGTCGTGAGCGAGCTTGTGCTTGCATCAGTCACCTGTCATCTTTGTCTCTCAAAACCCCAAGCTGTAAGTCCGAAATCGACCGGACTTCAGAGGAGGCTCAATCCTAAGTACTCTTTAAGCCCTCAACGCCGCTCTCGGGATCTCTCAGGAAATACATGTTTTAAAGCCTTGGGCCCGAAGCCAAGCCGATCGCCTCGTAGTATGCATGGCCATTTGACACGAAAAATAATAGTTTGCGTTCCCACTATAGGAACCATGCAATCCGTACCATCACAGAGTGCGAGAAAGAGAGAGAGAGAGAGAGAGAGAGAGAGAGGGAGAGAGAGACTGAGAGAGCGAGGAAATGGGACGTGGGTCACTCGGTTCGAGGCTCGCCAGCAGAGAAGGGAGCTTACACCTCAATATAAGAACATATTGCTGCAGGCATGTGGGCTGTCGCCCTGACAAATATTGTCGAGATCCGGCCGAGGCAACTAAACTTTAAGCAGATGTCAGCTTCAACTTTTGGACCAGTCAGGACGAGGCCACCGTCGTCGTTGTTGGTATGAGCGCCACCTCAGACCTCGAAAGAAACAAACAACGACTTGGACCAGGGTACCTTCCACTGGATTGGGCCAGTCCCGAGCTCGTGGCGTTATGATGAGCGGCTCCGCCTTGTTGCCGAAACGGTTCGACGCGGAGGCGGGTTGCTGCACAATGTAGACGCATGCCGATGGAGCCACCGTGAAGGTGACGGTCTGGGCTGCAAGTCTAAAACTGTGTTGCAGCAACTACGGCAAGCACAGGTTTTTTGGGCGGCCCCATGCAAGCTCTCGAGTCTCTCGCCCACATCTGATCCAGCTTCTGTGTGTTGCTAGCAAGGCTTCGACTAACGGGAGACTGTGAAGCCGACCTGTGCGGGCACAGCAAGACATTAGGCTTGGACCACTCGTGAGCTTGGCAAACAGCGGCAAACACAAATAGCAAGAATAAGAAGCCCGCAGTAGTGCAGCTCTGCAGCTGCCCGCGTGTCGCTGCCCGTGCCATTCCATGGAATCTTGCATCTGGCACCGTTGTGGTTCACGCAGCCTGGGAGATGGTTTCTGCTTGCCAACTATCCGTTCTGGTTGCCACCAGCATCTGTTGGGCTTTGTTTGGTCTACGGTTCAAGGATTGGCGGGGCCCACACGAGAACCACTGAGGAGCTCTCCCAGGTGGAATTGCGTGACTTCGCTACCCACTGGCCAATGGACCGAGCAACCCACAAGCTGGCAGCTGCCGCTGTCGGACAGGAAAGCGGATAACATGGCATCGAAGCTGGGCTCTTCGCTGCAGGTCGAGGCCGTCACCACTCGATAGGCACTGGCATCGTTGCAGTATTTGAAGAGCTCCTGCGATGAATCCAAGCCAAATGCAGCCTACTTATACGTAGCAGCCTGACAGCCCGCACCGCGACCCGCCTGGGACGCATTGTCGAAGAAGTTGCAGCCCGGAAAGATTGTTGTGTTCGAGGCTGCCCGAGATCTGTTGTTGCTGATTGTGAGAGTGCAAGGAACGTGCGACTCCTGGCACACCTGAGCGGCAAGGGATGGCAAGAGCTTGCCATGCAGGTCGCACACCTGTAACTGGAGTTTGCGTACGAGGGGTGATGGATGGCCGTCAGGACATATCGTAATGGCCCATGATGCGTCATGAGTCATAAGATGACATGGTGGAAGGATGTAAACTGCAAAAGACTCTTGATGCTGTACGCTTCACTGGTTTGACCGAGGGAAGTAGAAGCATCTCTAGGTTATTTACGAACCTCCTGTGAAGTAATAACCCAACAAACCTTGAAAGGTCGTATCATCGCAGCAAAGCGGGGACGTCAATACTTTTGACGGGGTTCCGTTTTCGAGCGCAGGAACTGCTCTGTCCTACTGAATTTTCAATCAGCTTTGTGTGCGGGCTAGTCTGGCCCACTGCTTGCTTTAAACTATGCGGTCTCGAAGCAACATGAGAGACATGACCGTGTGACCGCCGCTCCTCTGAATTTGTCCATGGCGCTTGCTCCGTTAGCTCCACTCCTGGCTCACACGGCCCAGGCGGGGGCGTCGCGATCGGGGGCCCCAAAGGGGGGGGAACGATACTCGAAAAGAGCTGCTCCACGCCTGCAGAGTTTTTCTCGATGCTCTGATTCTGCACCGCTTGCGACTCCAAGACCTCTTCCTGTTGCTTCTCGAGAAAGCTTTGATTCTCCATGACCTGCTCGTGTTGCTGCTCGAGATCCCCCACCCAAGGAGGAGGCAATGTACTGGTAGAGCCGTCGGTTGAATCGTAGGAGTCTGAGCTCTCCGAGCGCTGAAATTGGATCAGTTTGTTAGCTGGCTTGCCTCGTGCCAGGCTCTCCGAAACACAATTCATGCGTCTCCATCGCACCCATGACCTTATTAGAACACTTGTCGAACTACGCCTTTGATCCTGTCTTAAGGGTGTCAAGGTTTCGAACCAACCGAAAACCACAGCATCCACAGCAGCCACAGCTCATCCAAGCAACTCCTTGGCCGTGCCCTCAGCGGACACGGCCTCGGCCGCGGCCGACA